TGTTCAATCACTCGGGAACAATACATTCAATGCCATATTAATCAGTCCACAAATAAATTATATAATCCAAATACTGAACAGCGTAAAGACATTACGTACATAGATAGGACATATTGTGAAGAGGTGAAAAGCAAGAATTTCAAAGTACTCCCTTAGTCTTACTGCAGACACAAAAAATACCATTTATTGAAGCCAACATTGTTGCGCCCAACGGTTATATTTTGGCAATTCAACGACCTTACTTCTCCGACCCCAAAAACAACGACGCGTCAACTTTGCGAAATGATTTTCAGCGAGACACTAATGGAATAAGAAACTGGTTTGTTGAGGATGACATTTTTGTTGTCGATTGTGGTTATAGAGACGCCATTTATCTTCTGGAAGAATTAGGTATTATACATCAAATGCCCTACAGTGTACAGAATTGACAACAACCTACTACTGAAGAGGCTAATGCTTGTCGCCTCGTGACCAAAACCTGGTGGATAATTGAAGCGCGTAATGGACACATGAAATCAATCTTTAAGTTTTTTTCGACCACAATATCAACCCATCACCTTTATCATTTGAGGGAGTTTCTTCTTATTGGTGGAGCAATTATTAACAAATACCACCCAGTGATTGAAATGAGAGGAGATGCAGAATTAGTCCAACTGATTCTGGAAAGATTTCGCCAGATGAATAGGATACAGAACATAATAGAGGAAGAAAATCTCAAAAGGAGACGGAGAAGATGGATACCACTGGACCATCATCAGTTTCATTTTGATACCTCACTTCGTAGTAAGGCTTTTTAAAAATTCGGAAATGAGCTGTGACAGCAAATAATGACAGAAGACACAAAACCGCAGGATATTGTAGTACAATGGAATCTTCTACAAAAAAAATATGAATCTTTGCGAGACAGAAATATTTTCGATTCTGTTTTAGATGCGAATGACTTGGAAGAAGAACTAGGAGCAGAGATGGATTTATGTGATACATATGCGAAAAGATTCAAGGTATGGAAATATGAATATGAACAATTCAAAAATGCAGTCAGCGTTGTCGGAAAAGAAGGAACTTCAGCATAGAATATCTAGTGGGGAGTCCGGAATAACAGGTAGGTATGAGAAAATTTGAATTACCTACCAAAGAATTTAAGAAATTCAATGGGGATATAAGAGATTGGCTCTAAACAAATCAAGATGACGTTTACACATATCAACCAGAAGGATTTCAAACCAGTGATTTTTCTTTAGTCTTTAAGTTTCTCAAAAGCATGTGTGATTGGAAACAAAGTAAAAATGTTAAAAACTCTCTTTCCAAATTATCGAGAAAGGATATATACAGAGTGAGCTAGTGAAAATTAAACAAGGCAAATTTCTCCAAAATCTTCTCGGACCCATCGATTTTCTCTTCGTGAGGGATCAACCAATACCTCATTTGTAAAGTTATCGATTTCTCTTTTCAATGCTTCCCATTTTTTGAAATTTGATGCAGTTTCCCAGATAAATTATTGAAAAATCTAGCAATAAACGAAAGTATATATAGTGTCTTTTCTCTTTTCATACTACTTTTTCAGTGGGCAAAAGGCCAGATTTTAATTAAAAAATTACCTTACCTATTAAATATTTGGGTGATTACAACATACACAAATAAAAGCTGAAATAGTTTTTCGAAAATATTCTTCAACTATGTGTGAGCTAGACATATAGTGATAATTTTAGGCTTATTTTAGGCGCCTATGTCCCCTCATCACCGACTTTCGATATGTTATTTATTTCAATCAGTGGGTTCTACTAGCTCCACCATTAAGCTGGCAGAACCCAATGGAAATCCTTTACTTTTTGGAAATTTTCCATAATATTAGGCTCATTTTAGGCACCTTCATTACGCTATTGAACAACTATTTGCTCCTGGATTATAATAATGATAATGTTTATTCACCATATTGATCACATGTATATAACAGAGATTGGGCAGGCATCACAGAAGCAACATTTTCGAAAAAATGTTTTTTGTGCGTGATATTGCCAAATTCTAAACTATGACTAAACTAAAAAAATATGTATGTGAAAGTATTCTATACAATGAATAGATATAAACTGTTAACTATAAATTAGCATATTGAATTGAATTTTTGGGTGCCTAACAAGGCACATGTGGTGGAAGCGGAAATAATTTTTCGAAAATATTCTTCAACTATGGATGAAACAGAAATGTATTTAGAATTCTGGGCTCATTTTAGGCTCCTTCTGGAAACCTCCTCAGTATAATCTTGATGTTAATGAGTATTTAAATGAAAGGATTCCTGGTAGATGGATCGGCCGTAGAAGATCAGTGGAGTGCCCCACAAGGTTACCCGATTTGAATCCGTTAGAAGTTTTGCCGCGTCCTTAAAAGATGACAATCTGTAAAACGCAACCAGCATCTCTAGGTTTTTTGTGTCAACTGATTATTGATAACTGGCGCAACATTACGCCTGAAACGTTTTAATGGCCAAATTTTGAACACACGTTAAAGTAAAAATTTAGTAAGTAAGACAGTGTGCAAATTTTGAATTTTATTATCTTTTGAGGTGAAAAATTCAATAAAAGCCAACTAGTCCCTACTTTATCTCATGAAGACGCCCAACTTGGTTGATGAAACGCATGTCGAGAAGATTGTTGCAGTTCTGATGTTTAGGAACAGTACTTGTTTACGATTTATTATATGCCACAAATTCCACCTTTCAACTTTCCTAATGTTAATTTGTTATTAATTTCAAAACGTCTTTTTTCAATGCCTGCTGCATCAGAATCCAAAAAGTAGAAATTGTTTTTGGATTGAAAGGTTTTGACTTTTTACTTCTTCATTTTTATATAGAGAAATATGGGAATCTTCCAAAGATTAATCTCGTATAATATACACCTTTCAATTTATACAAACGAGAAATTGACTACTTTTCAAATAAGGTATCACTTGATCTCCGATCGAGTTTTCCCATCGAAAAAAAAATCGACGGGTCCGAGCAAATTAAGAGAAATTGACCTTGTTTCGTTTTCACTGACCCACCCTGTATATTGATATTTAAATAGTCAAGGGACTGATTTTATCGAATTTGAGATCATTGACATGGTATTGGAGAAATTTGCATCACAATTCAAAATAAGCACCGGAAATGGAATTGAAATACACCGAAACGGAAAACTATACAAAATTTAGAAAAGCCACAGAGATGTTTATGAAGGGTTCTGGAAAAATGTAACATGCTCAATTGTAATCCCAATGCAACACCGGCAGATAAAAATGTAGTTTCAGAAATGAGAGAACACTCAGTAAGGAAAGAGTGATGGAATCTATACCATATAGAGAATCAGTAGGATCTTTAATGTTTTTTCAATCGTGACCCCAGACATTATGTATGCAGGAAGCAAAGTGAGTACACTCTTGTCAAAGCTAAATAAAATACACTGGGTTGGTATGAAACGAATATTTAGATATTTTAGATATTTGAAAGGGAGTCAGGATATTGGTATTAAATGTGGAACAGAAAAAATGTATTCGAAACTATTTTCTGATGCGAATTTTGCCAAGAATACTGATAGTCGAAAATCTATAACTGGTTCTAAAAGAACTTGAAATTGTAATTGAAGAATAGATAGCATTGTTCGCCGATAAATCAAGGAGCTATCGGTTTGGTTGAAAATCAAGAACTCAACAAATAAATCAAGGGATCAAGTGGAGAATAAATTGCTGACAAAGGAACAACTAGCAGACACGTTTACCAAGCCACTCTCTTGTTCTTGTAAAAGTAGAACACTGAATTATACAAAAAATACTTTTCTATGTTCAGTTTGTATTCCAAAGATTTATTATACAATTGAATCAGGTATCATTCACAGGATTGCTACACAATATAGTAAATGAAAGAGGTAAAATTTGACTTACATAGAACACTGTCACCCTCAAAAGTATTTTTCTTCGGTATAATTCACTGTTTATATGAAAGTAGCTGTTTCAAGAGGACTTTTCCTACAGTTTGTGTCTGAAAGCTACTTCTTTGCATGATCTACACATCTTTGTATAGAGTTAATTTGAATGTTTATCTCGGTTTTGTTCGATAAATGTAGCAGCAGCACATTGGACATTTTTGTGTATTTCTCCCATGAAAAATAATAATTAATTTCTCTCCTTCCGCTAAGGGCATAAACCATTTTTGTTCAAATGAAACATTTCAATTTCATACTGTATCAACAACACTAGCAATCAAATAATTGATCAGATTGTGATCAATTGTTATGTATACAAATTCAATTGAAATAGGAATAAGAACAAAATGTTAAAGACAGTTTTTGCTGAAGGTAGATTCATATACTAGTCCTAAATCGTGAGGCAGAAGTTTCAAGTCGTTAGAACTTATACTTATGATGCACTGTTTGGAACCTTTGGTGTAGTAATGAATATTACTGGAGTTTTTTTCCCAACACCAAATCGTTATTTTTAACACCTTGACACGTGTTTTGATCACCAAGTGATCGAATTTGTGTTGTGTTGGGAAAAAACTCCAGTAATATTCGTTAGAACTTATATTTTCCGTTTATTATAACAAAAACTTACCACTCATGCAAGAACATTGCTATTGAAAATCAATGATCCAACTGCTACTGACTTATTACTCATGACTTGCGATTTACGAACTGAGACGAACTGAATTCATGTTGAAACAACGCCGTTATCTGTATATAAACTCTCCCTATTATATAAAGGTATCATTTTTGAAAGTATCTAGACTTAGTATCAGTTCAGTATTATTGAAAAATGTGGGGAAGAAAGGGGACAATATTTTTTTTGGGTCATCCTAGGAACAAAGATAGCTGTCTTAATAATGTTGTATATTATTTTCTTTTGTTTTTATTTTTAGGTCGCAAGCTGAAGCTTCACAACGAAAATTAAGGAAATATTTTTCAAATTAACCAATTATTTGTGAAATAAACATGCAATATCTACTTTATATTGGAAAAAAAAAACATACATACCCTAGTAGAAGGTTTGGTACACGATCTGTTGTCAATTAAGTTGATGAACTTATCACCACTTTTCCGAGGAGAAAAAGTTTTCACGTTTGAATCTATTTCTGCGATCATATTATGGAGAACAATGTTTATTTATGAGAAAATCTATAAAATTGACTTTCACTCATGTATCATATAAGTTTACAATAAACTTCAAGAATTGTAAAATAAGCCAAACCAAAAAAATTCCTCGTTCCTGTAATAGTTTCAACAGAAAATAAACCCAGAGCTGTAGAATATAGATTCCCTAAACAATTCAGTTCAATTCCCGACTTCAAACTTCAATATGCAATGCTTCAAACTGTCAAGGACGAAATATTTCCTCTTTCAACAGACCTTGTCTTTGAATTTGAAACTGTTTACTGTTTACTTTTCTACTTTCTGTGTTCGAACTTCAAGCACGGAAAATAATCAGAATTATAATCACGAAGCGAAGCGACGCGTTTTATCTTTATTCGGTGTTTTCAGGAACCTTGACAAATCTCGGGACCGTCTTAGGTTTAATAACATAACAGATATTCTAAAGATCTCACAAAATATTGTGGAATTGATTGTAGATAATATTTTTACGATATCGCGGAAATATTTGAATATTCCTTCAATAAATATGTTTTCAATACAGTGAATAAATAATTATAATTGGTAGAATCCTAACTTATTCTGGGGACGATTGCAAGATAATCAGTTTAAATTTAGTGATATTTTTCCAAACGGCAAAATTCGTTAAAAAGTGAGTATTTATTCATCCATGAGGTCTATACGTAAATAGAATTGCTACTCTATAATATAAAAATCTATCAGACGGATGTAATGTAATCAGACATATAGGTAGTATTTGAAAAATATAATCATGCAACAAATTACTTTTTATTTGTTTCTGATGTATTTCATCAAAATATTAGAGAAAACTAATGCTACATTTTTGTTATTTACAAGTATAATTCGGTGAGGAAATATGCAAATATGAACAATAACATCGACGGAAACGATGAATAACAGAAGTACCGGCATCTGCGTCACTCCTGTATACTGGATCAGTTATTATTATTTTTGTAGAGTTAGTTAAGTTAAACTATCCGTTTGAATAGTAGACCATGAGAAATGAGAGATTGTATTCCATAGTATACAATTCAAGACTAAGATCATAAAACAGCCCTTTGCTGTTTTGTGTGTCGATGAGTGAATTATAAACTCTAAACAATTGTCTGCTTGTTATCGGTTTGGATAATTGACAATATGTTCTTCTTGAACCTTCTGATAGTAAACCTAACATAAACTTTCGATTTGATATAGCCCCACGGTTCTGGGTATATCTGATCTAATCAATCCCTTACAGGCCAAAAAAATATGGGGGCGCAGCATCTTGTTGAAAAACAAATGGATTTTCGAAGCCATCTTGATTGTTGACCACAATTTCTTGCATCCGTGAGTAAATCAGGTTGAAAAAAATCAAAATACAACACCAGTCAGATTTTCTTCTAGGAATATAGGAGAAACAATACGATTTTCCAATATTCCTGCTTATTTTCTCAGGAGTCTGAGTGTTACCTTTTCGAAAAATATGTAGGTTTGTTTATGTCTGACCAATATCGTACATTTTGGTGGTTGATATTTTCGTCACTAAAATAAATACTTCGATGTTGCATTCTTCTATTAGGGTCATCTTCAATTAATTATTATGATACATTCAGTTTATAGGTGTTAAACCTATGTCTTCTGATGTATTTCTTGATGGTGGTTGTTGAGACATCATTCTCACGAACAACTGTTTTTATGTACTGCAGAGGGTTATTCATTACATACGGATCGATTTCCATCTACGTCTCGTCCGAGATAATATTTTTTCCAGCTATTCTAGCTGTAACATTTCCGTTTGTTCAAAATTTTTCAATAAATTCCCCGAGATATTTTCGGTTGGTCGGATAATCAGGAAATCTTGCATTGAACATCCTTTCTTCCTATTGAAAATCACGGCAAGCATCGGCGTATATGAGGATTGCTTCTGTTTTTTTACCTGAGAATCTGGCGATAACCATTTGAGAAAATTCGTATTAATGAAATGAAGCAAATTATCTGTATCACTAGAGACAACTATCAAGTTACACAATACTATATGTTACTAGAGTAACACAGTTTGGATTTTTATCTACATAGTCGATTACAAAAAAACCTAAACCTGATTAAAAACAGAAATTCGCTGTTTCGCCAATACCGTGAACAATTGTTTTTTTTTTACACACAACAAACATTGGTAACCTGTGATAACTAACTTTTCCTTCAATTCACACACCAATAACGCCGCAACCAGTTATCCAAATTCGAAACAGTAAAAGTCGTTGGATAGAGAATTGAAATATCTTTCAAGCGAAGGGTCACGACCCCCTTTCTATTTGAAACAAAAAGTTAAAAGCGCCCTCTCTGCGCTAAGTGAAATCACACCATTAGCTATTTTATGAAAAAGTGCTAAACATGATTATTCGTCAACAAACTTCGTCCGACTTTGATATCTTGCCCTATTCAAAAGTTAAGAGAAGTAGACGTCTGCACTATATAGAAATCTGTCAATATGTTGCCAGCTCTGGCAACACTGTGTCTCAGACACAGAAGTATCAGACCTTTAGTATTCCGTGTCAGTGAATTCTATACTATGGTATACATTTGACTGCGGAGCATAGTATAATTATTATTCTGTGATTGGTGGTTTATATTAGGTATGTTAGGTTTTGAAAATCTAGAGGCAAGTAGCTGATTCAGATTTATATCACGTGATCACAGAGTCAATGGAGTGAAATATATTTAACGATTGCTCGATTCTATCTGAAATGACATTTGTGGTATTATTTGTCATCACATCTAACTTAGGCTTGTATATTATACAATCGATGTTTAGATTTATATCACTTGATCACAGAGTCAATGGAGTGACATATATTTAACGATTGCTCGATTCTATCTGAAATGACATTTGTGGTATTATTTGTCATCACATCTAACTTAGGCTTGTATATTATATAATCGATGAAGTTTTGTCCTGTAACAGAAGTGTGATGTAATTTTTCAGAACCAACCGATCATACTTTTTCCCCGTTCTCACAAATACCAAACACAGAGCAGAATGTATTAAACGAACACAGCTATTTTTACGCGAAGTATTTGGTTTTCTGAATTTAAACTGCCTTTTTTGTTAACAGTATGTATATTTCACTTATCGTACATTTTTCCGTAAAAATGGGTACTAATACGATATCAACAACGCTGTGTTTCGTTCTTTCAAAATGTCGGAGGTCAACAAAATTGGCTGGCTTCAGTAGATCAAAGGTGCGGTTCCGAGTAGACTTTCTGATTGTTTACTCTTCTGTGGTTCCATTCCCACTATTTCATACTGTACATTCATGTAAAAATGGCGGACGAAAAAGATGTGGAGAAAACTATTTCAGAAGACTTGGTGGTCACCAAGTATAAAATGGCTGGAGAAATTGTAAACAGTGAGTTAGAATTCGAAATTATTAAAATTTCCAAGCAATTACTTGTGAAAATTTATATTATCCTTGATGTAGTTGAAATGAGGCCATATGGAGCGTGGTCCCCGGCAATGATACCACATGGTTTTGTTTCACAAATGAAATGATTTTTTGTGAATGTGATCATTTCTAAATTAATACTTCAGTCAATAAGTGAGGCTTTCTGTATTCTACTGATTGTTGGATTCATCAAACATAATTGAAGCTTGATACCTTTTTCAGGAGTTCTAAAACAAGTGCTCTCTAAATGTGTAACAGGAGCTTCTGTTCGAGAAATATGTGAATATGGTGATGAATTATTATTGGATGAGACAAACAAAGTCTTTAAAAAGGAGAAGGATTTGAAAAAGGGAATCGCATTTCCTACATCTATTTCAGTTAACAACTGTGTTTGTCATTATTCTCCTGTTCCTAGTGAACCAGATTATGCTCTTAAAGATGAAGATGTTGTTAAAGTGTGAGTACTAATTAGTTATTCATCTTTTTTTTTTCTTATTTATAATTTTTAGTTTTGTAGCATATATTTTTGTAACATTTAATGGGTAAGCCCTCACAATATCTCTAGCTTTTTCTTTTAGGTCTAGATCCAAACAATTGATTTTTTTTCCAATAAGACCATAATTTCATCAGTTCTGACTTCCATTGTCTAATATAAATTGATTTGAAATCTCTTTTCGATTGTTGGTAACCACAATCGTTTTCGGGTGATAATTGGATTTACTCATTTTGTATTTAGATAGGTTGAAGCCTGGCTCCCTTACCCTTTCGAGATCTGACTATTTATAGGTCATTGGAGTGCTTTCACCTATCCCCTCTCTCCGCTTCATTGGTTTTAGCGGGAGATGATCGTTTGGCGGGAGTTGGTTGTTTTTCGCTTGATTAGAGGTTTCCCACTTGATGTTATGTTGATGAGTCAAAAAATGCTCTGCTTTTCTGGATTTGCTGGTTTCTCCTCGCTGTGTGTATTTTTTTGTGCTCAGCAATGCGAACTTTCAACGGCCTCTTAGTTTCACCGATGTATGATTCTCCGCACTCGCGGGTATCCGGTAAATGCAATTCTTGGAATCACAGTCCGCGTTTGGAGGCTTGGTTTTTGTGAGGCTGCTACGGATAGTATTCCCAGATTTGAAGCAGGTTCTGATGTTATACTTGGACCCAATCCTTCTTATCCTTTCCGATAATCCTCTTATGTAGGGAAGTACAAGTACTGGTTGTGGGAGCTTCTCTTCCTTGTGGAGCTCTTGCTGTCTTCTAGCTGAAGCCTGTTCTACCATCACTCTGGAGTAACTGTTCTATTTAAGGTCATTTTTGAAGATGCCTAGTTCCTTTTCGAGACCATCTTTTGTATTACAGAGCCTGAAAGCACGATCTAGTAGAGTCTTGATGATTCGTCTCCTAGTCGATTGATGATGGTTGGATTTCTTGTTCATCTGTATATCGAAAACCCACTCCTGTTTGAGTGGGTTTTCGATATACAGATGTTTTCCATTTAGGGTCGGTCCTCTTCACCAAAACGTCTAAGAAAGGCAATTCGTTGTGGACTTCCTTCTCCATTGTGAAAGTGATGGAAGGACTCACGTTGGTGATGTGCTTCAGGAAAGTGTCTAGTTCTGCATTCCCATGGTACCATATTATGAAGGTGTCGTCTACGTATCTCAACCAGACTCGGGCTTCTTGTGGGCTTCTTCAATGGCCAGAGTTTCAAACCACTCAATATATGTTGCTATAAACGGTGAAAGTGGCGATCTCATTGGCAGTCCCTCTTCTTTCGAAAAGAATTCATCCTAATGTTCCTTTATCCCTTGAATTCACTCATTGAAATAGCCCTCTCCTTCAGCTCACCTGACTTCTCTGGTATACGTCTCATTTTATGGCATATCAATGAATTTTTAATTTATTGTTTTGCAAGATCTAATAACATATTGTCAGCAGACGTTGAGAAATGTTGATATTTTTCTGAATTTAAATTACACAAATATTTACTATTTAGGCATTTCTTTGAATTCTCTATCTATTTATGTATATTCATATACATCACATATATATTTAGAACACACAAGATTTTCTTCTTTCTCTTCATTTTGTTCGGTCTTCTTTTGTTGAATTTCCATTTCTTGAAGAGCCAATAAAGACTCGAAAGCTAGAAGAGAAAAAAGAGTTCACTTATTTTACCACCCCCTTGTTGACTGCATATCCGAAAATTATAAAAGTTTCTTCTTTAACTTAGACAGTTGTCGAACCTTCACTTTGGAATATTTTCAACACTCAAATCAGAATCAATAAAAACAGAGGACTTTTAAAAATTTTAGAACTCCATTGTTTCTCATTCTAGTTTGTTTTCAATACAACATTGCAAATAAAACTTGCCATAGTAAATTTCGTACAATAGTCCTTCATGATGATTTCCTAAATTCCAATTGATCCAACTGAAATCTGTGATTAGATAACACAACTTCTGATGTAATACTTCAATATTATTACATTTTATTGTTAAAAGTAATGTTTTCAAATGTATCATTATATTTTAGGGACTTGGGAGCTCACATAGATGGTTTTATTGCTGTTGTTGCCCATACTATTGTTATAGGTGCTTCTGTTGAAAAAAAAGTAACTGGCAGAAAGGCAGATGTAATATTAGCAGCTCATTATGCCTCTCAAACAGCCCTCCGTTTATTGAAGCCTGGTAATGAAACTTATGCAATAACAGATGCAGTACAAAAGGTTGCAGAATCTTTCAAATGCAAACCAGTTGAAGGTTGGTATATTTACTGAAGTAACAATATACATTTTTCAAAATCTCAATGTTTTGTAAGAGGTAGTAACTTTTTTTTCACATATCAACAATTGTTTATTTTTATGACAAAACGAATATTTTTCTGTAAGGATGGCCTCTATAAGAAAATTCAGTTACTCAATTTTTTTCCAATAATAGAGATATTAATAGTCCATGTGGTAAGTTGAAGTGATGTGATTTACAAATATGAAATATATTTTTTTAAATATATACAAAAACAAAAATAAATACATTTTGGATAGCAAGTCAGTACCTTTGATATATTTTTCAGAGCACAGTACATTGCAGTACCTATTGTATCACTTAAATGAAAGGATATTTCATTCTTTTTATTGTTAGACCCTTATTTTTCAGTATAGCTGAATGACTTGTGGTGGATGGGCCCAATTCCCTTATTGCAATTATTGTTGTTATAACAATAATTGCAATAATTGAAAGTGTTGATTATTGTCATATGGCAGTTTTTTTGGTTCTTGATAGCTAGGAATAGTTATATTATTTAATATTCAATTATTCAGATGTGGTTATATTTTTTACTTCTCTGGAATGGTCATTCCAATGAACTGTCAATGCATACAGACCTTTTTTCGCATCTAATGAGTGGTAGTGGCAACCTGGCCCGTATTGCTGTATGTGATGGCATTCTGTAGTTTGGCACATTAATTTTTAGGTTGGTTGATGTACCTATACTGAAATGAGATCATTTGTAACTATAATTGGCAGGAGTTGAAGCAGTGTAATTATCTGACAGTTTTTAACCATTGTTGAAGACTTGTTGAGCTACTGCAGCATGGTACTTACGTGAGCCACCGCCCTCAAGGAGTTTACTCTTAACACTATATAACGACTTAATAGGCTGCTCCAGTTCGCTATGATTGATGTCACGGTATGTTGGAGGCTATTCAGATCTTTCTTAAGTCAGTTTTTTTAAACAATATTGATGAAAATATGACAAAGCTATTCGTTGACTTGACAGCTTTGATAACTCCAACAGTTATTCCAACCGAGACATTACTACTTCTAGTTACGTAACTGCACTGTTACTGAAATACCCTTTCTGAAGGGATGATGATTTGTATGTAGTATGTAGCATTTGTGATAGTCTATTGTATAGTTTTGGATTTGTTGAGATATATTGAAACAGTATATTTTTAGGAGAGGTTAATTTTTGGGAAAGGAAGGTTTTGGCTTTCTACTTCTCCATCTTGATACAAAGAATATGAATTGCTAATGTAGATAATTCAACGTTCATATTATTCTTTGGTTTGGTGGCCAAAGATGAAACAAGCCACTGCTAACAAATTAGGCTAGGTGCAAAAAAATGGCAATGAAAAAAACCACACCCTCATCAGCATTTGAGATACTCTTGAATATGCATCCTTTACATCTTGTTATAATCACAGGAGGCAAGAATTTTATGGACAACCCAAATTATGTCCAGAAGATCATGACAAACATCCAACAGCTAGTACAGAACAAGACTGTTAGAATAGATGTCATGAAAAGATGAAAGAAAAACCGCAATACGTCAACGAGGTTGCAGTGTTTTCTGGAGACTAGGAAGAAATGAACAAGTTAGACAGCTCCCAAGATGCTTTAAAAAAATGCTCATATGAAAAATCATATTTTTTGTTTCAATAGATTTCACATTTGGAAATATGATAAGAGTGAACCAGTACACTACCTTGTGGGATGCTAAATAATTTACAAATTCTGTTCAGTATACTGACTCCATTTTTGTTTCAATGAAAAAAATATTAAAAAAAACATGATGATTTTCAAATCCAATTGATCCTACTGAAATTCAAATCTATTGATTGATGACTCTTTATCTGACTTGAGTTTCTAATCATTACTTTTCACTAATATACATTAGTCATATTTAGATTTGACTCTGTTTTTCAAGGTATGCTCAGTCATCAGTTGAAACAGTTCAAAATCGATGGTGAAAAAACAATTATCCAAAATCCTAACGATGCTCAGAAAAAAGAACATGAAAAATTTGAATTGGATAAACATGAAGTATATGCTATGGATGTATTGATAAGTACTGGTGATGGAGTTGGCAAGGAAACTAATACTAGGGTTTCGATTTACAAGAAAACAGATGAGACTTACCAGTTGAAACTAAAAGCATCAAGAATGTTTTATGGAGAAGTGAGGGCGAAATATGGAAACATGCCATTTAACTTGAGAAGTTTTCAAGATGAGACAAAAGCTAAAATGGGAGTTGTTGAATGTGTGAAGAATAAGCTTATCGAACCGTTTCAAGTTCTTTATGAAAAACCAGGTAAGACATATTTAGTTGCAATTCATCAGTGTTTGTACACATACCTAATTTCATATGAGGTAAATGTAAGAGTCTCAGGCTTCACCAAAGTGAAAAATTGAATTGAACTTACGATAAAAATACTTTATAATTTTAATAAAATTTGAATGATCTTATTGGAAATGGCCTTCTCTACAATGCATGTCTACTGAGTTTGATAGGTGAATATCAGATCCAGTATGTGGACGAAATTTTCAATAGAAGTAGACTTTCACAAATTTTATTATATTTTTTCTTATTTATGGAGGATCCAAACAGAAAGCAAACAGCCAAAAACAACTGTGAACTTCTTTCAGGTGCCTATATGTCTTTTTTGAAAATTTTGTAATCATTTAATAAATAGGCCAGTTGAATATAGGCATATTGGAATTTCATTATGATGACACTTGATTTTGCCAGTATGATAGCTTGTGAAAGAAAGTGAAAGAAATAAAGAAGTGCAACGATGAGATGAAAATAGACATTTGTTAATTCAAAGGGAAACTGTGCACACAGACAATTGATACTAAAGTTCGTACATTGAACAATGAAAATAAGGTATTGAAAACTAAATTGGAAAATATGTGGTGGAATAGGTCGATACTTGATGAAAATTTATGATAACCTATGTATTAGTTTATTAAACATATATCACGTAACGTAAGAACACTCCTTGAGAAGCTAAAATATGGTGAAACACATTTTGCAGATTTGTAAACCATTCAGTGAAAATTTCACAAAGTTTCATTTGAAAAGGTTAAATTGAAAAAAACTGAGAAAATTCTGAATAAAAAATATTGGGAAAAAGACTTAGGATTTATATTTTTTCATTTATCCTAAAAAATATATCCATTTCAATATGAAAACATCATTTTTGGCATTCGTAAAGATCATTTTGGCATTCGTAAAGATCAGAGTCCAGTAGTACTCTTTGCCAAAGTTGTAAAAGCTAGCTTGACATCATGGTAGAAGAAACGGACATAACTGACCTCTACCTAGTCAGTCCAGGAGTACCGCAGAAAAATAGGTCAATGAGGAATGTTCCTCCTGACGAAAATCAAGTAGTTTTCATAAAAGAGCACTAAAACAACGCATTTTAAACTTATCATTTCAACCCTTTAAAAAATTATTTAAATACTTGAAAAAGAGGAATGAAATAATGCATTCAACATTTAAAGGGATTCGTTTCTATTTCACCATTTGGCAACATCGGTTATAGCTAATAAAGGACAATGAATCTGTTACCTGCATGACTTTGATTGACGACTTGTTTATTTTGTGGAAATTCATATTCACTGAGGATACACTACAAAAACACAGTTTTGTCTATTTTCCATGATATTTCTTTATTGTTGTATATAGCCTAGTTTCGGCTATTACACCATTTTCAAAACTAACTGATTACATTTAAATCTGAGTAATTTATACCTAAGTTGCCTATCCTATCATAAATAATTTGGTACCTACATTTTGTATGAACATAACAAAAGAAAGCTTTTGATATAATGTAGCTATTGGGAACTGGATTATAGATTCAGGAGAGGACTATTATTTAGATCAAGTTGTTCGTTGAGGACGATAGAATTGGGATTTTTCTTTGACTTGTTTATTTCCATAGATTCCAACAGATTCATCATTTTTCCTTTTTCGCATGTGTGAAGGATCTTTAAATTATCTTTATTTATTTTATGTTTCGAATTTTGAAGATGCTCATACATTAATGATTTTTTATCCGAAATGACATGTTCATGGTACCTTATATCAAAATTTCTACCAGTTTGGCCTGTATATATGGCGGGGCATTCACCACATTCTTCATCAGGCTGTACGTGT